CAGGGGCAGGCCGGGCATCGGCGTGCACGGCCGCTACCGAGGCCGACTGCTGGGGACATCTCAGCCCAGGGGACCTCGGCCTCGGGGAGGAAGTCTTGCCGGCGGTGGAGTGCTGGGGACGTGGGGACCGGTGCTGCTTCCCCCTCGATCCCTCCCTCCGGGGCGGGCGGCAGGGCGGGCGCGCCTACCTGGATGCAGTTGATGACGAACGCGTGGCCGCGGAACACCCTCTGCAGCGCTCCGGACTGGGCGTCGAAGGCGCGCGCGCGGGCGTCGCCGCTGCCGGTGAACACTGTGGACACACGCGCCACTGGCCTCCCGCCCTCCACGCCGCCAGGACGCCGCGGGGCAGGGGGCAGGGCGGCCGAGTCACAGGGGCCCCCTCCGGGCCCCCTCCGCCCACCTCACAGGGATTCAAGTGGGGGGAATAGAGGGTGCCCCTTGAAAGGAAGGAGGTGGCACCTTTGTTATCTTACTACATTCCTGCGGGCCAGGGTGACTGCCAGGGCCGGAGGGGGCAGGGCGGCCGAGTCACCGGGGCCCCCTCCGGGCCCCCTCCGCCCACCTCACAGGGATGTTCAAGTGGGGAATAGAGGGTGCCCCTTGAAAGGAAGGAGGTGGCACCTTTGTTATCTTACTACATTCCTGCGGGCCAGGGTGACTGCCAGGGCCGGAGGGGCCCTCTGTGGTCTGCAGCGCTGGGCAAGACTGCGGCCCACGGGCCTTTCTCGGGCTCCTAGCGGGCCGCACTGCCCTGCCAGGTACCACCTGGGCCCAGGTTCCCACTCAAGCCGTTTTGTGGAGGCCAGGTGTTGCCCCAAGCTCTGAAGCCCCTGCCTCAGGGGGGTGGTCCCTCCCCCCACCATCTGAGCAGCGCCCTGTGACAAGGACAGGCCAGAGATGCCTCGCTCGTCAGTAATGAACTCAGCCCTCCTAAGGGCCCAGACCTCCCCCACCCACTAGAGAGCCCCTGGCCAACCTCTGGCGGGTGAAGCCCAGTTTCCTGCCTTATAACTTAGCCGGACAGCTCCCAAACCCCCACTGTACATCGACACCACCGGCAGCGTTTGTTAAGAGGCAGATTGCTGGGCCCACCTGTGTTTCTGATTTACGCCGTCTGGGGCAGGGCCTGAGAACCCGCGTTTCCAACCTATTCCAGGTGATGCTGATGCTGAGAACACTGACCCCGCCTGGTTCACTTGTCATCTAGCCTGGGTTCTCCCAGAAGCTGACTCTGACATTAGGACTCAAGTACAAACAGTTCATCCGGCAGGGCATTCCAGGAAGTGGGGAGGAAGGGTGCTCATACAGGTGTGCTGGTGAGCAGGTGACTGCTGGGGGCCCTTGGCAGACCACATCTCAGAGCTGTCGCACCTGGGGCCAAGGACGCTGGGCTACTTATTCAGCAATTCCCATTAGTCATTGGCTGAGGGCCTCTCATGGGTGTCAAGTCCAGCCTCCTCCACCTTGCCCCTCACAGAAACGTGCCCTTGGGCACAGGACCTCAGCTGCTGCAGCAAGTGTCCCTGAACGCTGTCCCCACAGCACCCGCTACACCCGCCCTGCAGCCTGAGCCTAAACGTGCTACAGTAGGCACCTGCAGAGTGCTCCCTACTCCACTTCCTGTGTCACCTGCCTATTCCGAGCCTTTCTGCTAAAGCTACCGGTGGATGTAGGTAGCCCTGGAGACAAATTTTCATTTCTGGGTCTCCAGCTCCTGGACTGCCTTCCCCTCCCCACCAACTCAGTGTAGCTGCTGCACATCCCCTGGGTGGGAAGAGGGTCTAAGCATCCTGCAGCCCATCGGCAAAGACTGAGGACCAAGCTCCTTAACAGTGGGGCAGCCGGCAGGGACCCTGGGATCGGATACAGTGGCAGCTTCCATCCCAGCTATGGCCAAGGGGAGGCCCACTAGGCAACATTCTCCTTTTTAAATTAGAGGTCCCAGACTTGGGAGCAGAGCCATAATCACACTGACAGGTTTGGACACAGGAAGAAGATAAAAATAATTTTTCCGTGTCAGACACCTAAATCCCGAGGGTATCTCGGGCTCTATTTTCAGAGATCCACATTCTGCCTTTATCTAACACCTGTGCTGTGAAGTCGACGTGAATTTTCCACTGTGATTCTTACTGCCCCCCCCTCGCCCCCCGCCGCAGTCTACCCCTCACTCCAGCGCTAGGAAGATGGCTCTCAGGCTCAGCTTCGTGGCTTCCTGCCACTGTTGTGTGGTGGTGGTGGTGGGGTGGGGGTTGGGCTAATGGCAAAACGACGTTGGGGATCGCATCGGGAAAGAGATTTTCAGGTGTGGTGAGGCTGGGCGGCTGCCTCTCTGGAACAGAGTCTTTTCTGGCGTGTCTGGGGTATAAACAGGTGACAAGTCAGCTGGACAGAGCCAACAAAGCCCAGATGTGTGACAATTTGAGACCTGTGAGATAGATAGCTTGTTGCCTACCTAATAAGCCATTCTACTCTTCTTTCTTTACAAAATAATCCTGATTGATCCTGGGAGCAATGTCCCCGAATAAGAGATTTTGTTATTCAGCCTCTCTAGAAGGCAGGGGTCAAAGGGATATATACAGAAGTCTTTGGGTGGAGCTTCCAGGGGCCTACACAGCGAGGAGACTCATCCTTTTTCCCTTCCTTCATCTTCTTCCTGCCTGCCTGAAATATGACATGATGGCTGGAGCTCCAGCAGCTATCTTGAACCATGAGGCCCCCTTAAAGCTAGAAGATATGTGCTAGGGATGATGAAGGAAACAAGAAACCGGGGTGCCTGATACCTGCGTGGGGCCACCCATTCCAACTTTGGCTGA